CTTGGAATTTATCCTAGAGCTATAAGAGCCATCACACAAATAGATATATGCACATCCATGTTCATTGCAGCACTGTTCACTGTAGCAAAAAGATAGAAACAACCTAGGTGCCCATCAATGGAAGAATGGATAAATACATTACAGTATATTCATGTAATGGAATACTACACAATGATAAAGAGCAACAATGAATCCGTGAAACATAAATAGAGGAATCTGGAAGGCATTATGCTGAGTGAATTAAGTCAGTCACAAAAGGACAAATATTGTATAAGACCACTATTATAAGAACTCAGGAAAAGGTTTAAACATAGACGAAAACATTCTTTGATGGTTATGAGGGTGGAGAGGGAGGGAGAGGGGTATTCACTAACTAGATAGTAGGCGAAGGGAAGGACAGCACACACTACAGGGGATGTCAGCACAACTGGACTAAACCAAAGCTGAGAAGTTTCCTGAGTACAACCAAACACTTTGAGGGACAGAGTAGCAGGGGCAGGGGTCTGGGGACCATGCTTTCAGGGAACATCTAGGTCAAGTGGCATAACAAAGTTTATTAAGAATATGTTCTGCATCCCACTTTGGTGAGTGGCATCTGGGGTCTTAAAAGCTAGTGAAGGGCCATCTAAGATGCATCAACTGGTCCCAAACTACCTTGAGAAAAGGAGAATGAAGAACACCAAAGACACAGGGAAAGCCCAAGAGACAGAAAGGGACAGATAAACCAGAAACTTTATCAGCCTGAGACCAGAAGAACTAGATTGTGCTCAGCTTCCACCAATGACCTCCCTGACAGGGAACACAACAGAGAAAAGTGGGGGGCAGAACTCAAATTCTAGGAAAAAGACCTGACTTAATGGTTTGATTGAGACTGGAGGGACCCTGGAAGAAATGGCCCCCAGACTCTCTGTTAGCCCAAAACTAAAACCATTGCCGAGGCCAACGCTTCAGACAAAGATTAGACTGGACTATGGAACATAAAATGATATTCGTAAAGAGTGCTTCTTAGGTCAAGTAGATACATGAGACTAAATGGGCAGCTCCTGTCCAGAGGCAAGATGAGAAGGCAGAGAGGGTCAGGAGCTGGTTGAATGGACACAGGAAATCCAGGGTGGAAAAAGGAGTGTGCTGTCACAGTATAGGGAAAGCAACTAAGGTCACATAACAATGTATGTATAAATTTTTGTATGAGAGACTAACTTGAATTGTACACTTTCACTTAAAGTATAACAATAAAAAAACTTTCCTTCTGAGTCTTTCTTTGTTAAAGATTAGAAAATGAGGAGGAGGAGGAGAAGAAAAGCCCTTTCTATGTAGAAACTCAAACTGAGTAAAGATTTATTTGTTTTATGCCGTATTCTACTTATCCATAAAGCAATGAGCATTATTGATCCAGTAGGTTTGAGAGCACTGGAGCAATTAGGAGTGAAAATACATTTGTTTAATAATCCAAAAATATTTTTCTCATTTCAACTAGTGGTGATTTATCCAGATACAAGGTGATGGGGGCCTGGAGTAGAGGAAATAATAAGGAGACTGAAGAATTTGAGGTTAATTTGATATTGTTTTGAAATATTTGATGGGTCTTAATAGTTGGTTGAATATTAGTGTTGAAAATAAAAAGAAAAACTCAGCGAACTATGAATAGAGAGGAACTTCCTCAACTTGATAAAGAACTTGACAAAAAACCTACAGCGAACATCATACTTGATGGTGAGAAACTAGATGCTTTCCTCCTAAGACTGGAAATACGGCAAGGATGTCTCCTCTCACTACCCCTGTTCACCATTATAATGGAAATTTTAGGTAGTAAAATAAGACAAGGAAAGTAAATAAATAGTATACAGATTTGGAAAGAAGAAATAAAATGTTCTTTGTTTGCAGAAGACATGACTTTACATGTAGAAAATCCCACAGAATCCGCCAAAACATTCCTGAAACTAATAAATGAAATAGCAAGGTTGTAGGATGTAACGTTAATATACAGAATTAGTTGCTTTCCTGTACACCAGCAATGAATAGAAATACAGTACCATTTACAATACCATAAACAATGAAATATCTGTAGACCTAGCAAAACATATGCAGGGTTTATATGAAGAAAACTGTAAAACTCTGATAAAAGAAGTAAAAGAAGAGCTAAATAAATGGAAAAATATTCTGTATTCCTGAATTGGAAAACTCAAAGTTGTTAAGATGTCAATTTTTCACCACTTGATTTATAGATTCAACACAATCCCAGTAAGCTATTTCGTGAATATCAACAAACTATTTCTAAAGTTTACATGAAATGGTAAAAGACCCAGAATAGCCAACACAACATTGAAGAAAAACAAAGTCAGAGGATTGACACTGCTCAACCTCAAGACATGCTATAAAGCTACAGTAATCAAGATGGTGTGGTATTGGTAAGTCTCTCATACAAATGGTGCTGGAGTAATTGGATGTCCATATGCAATAAAATGAATCTAGACACAGACATTACATCATTAACTCAAAATGGATCATAAAAAATAACTAAATCGTTGTCATTGAGTTGATGCTGACTCATGGTGACCCCATGTGTGCAGAGTAGAACTGCACTCCATAGGGTTTTCAAGGCTATGAGTTTTCAGAAGCAGATCACCAGTCCTTTACTCCAAGGCACCTCTGGGTGGGTTTGAACCACCAACCTTTCAGTTAGTAGTAGAGTGCTTAAACATATGCACCACCCAAGAATGCCAATATGAAATGTAAAACTATAAAATTTCTAGAAGAAAATGTCAGAGAAAATCTATATAACCTGGAGTTTGGTGATGAGTTTTTAGATACAACACCAAAAGCATGACCTTAAAAAAAAAAGATAAATTGGGCTTTATTAAAATTTAAAACATCTTTTCTGTTAGGGGCACAGTTAAGATAATTAAAAGACAGTGCATAGACTGGGAGAAGAGATTTGAAAAGCACATATCTATAAACAACTTGTACCCAAAATGCACAAACCAACAAAAACCAAAACCATTGCTATCAAGTCGATTCCGACTCATAATGACCCTATAGGACAGAGTAGAACTGCCCCATAGGGTTTCCAAAGAGTGGCTGGTGGATTTGAACTGCTGACCTTTTGGTTAGCAGCCTGAGCTTTAACCACTGCTCTATAATGAACTCTTAAAACTCAACAATAAGACAACAAACAACTCAATTAAAAAATGGGCAAAAGATCTGAACAGATACCTCACTAGCAAAGACAAACAGATGGAAAATAAGTATATGAAAAGATGCTCATCATCATTTTTCATCAGTGAATTGCAAATGAAAACAACAGTGAGATACCACTACACACCTATTACAATAGTTAAAATAATAATAAAAAAAACTGTTACAATAACAACTGCAGCTGAGGATGTGGAGCAAGAGGAATTCTCATTCATTACTGGTGGGAATGCAAAATGGTACAGTCACTTTGGAAGATAATTTGGAAGTTTCTTAAAAGCTTAAACATAGTCACCATAAGATCCAGCAATTGTGTTCCTAGGTATTAATCCAAATGAATTGAAACCTATGTCCACACAAAAAACCTGCACAAGAATGTTTTAGCAGATATATTTTCAATTGCCAAAAACTGGAAGCAAACAAGATGTCCTTCAATTGGTGAATGGATGAACAAACTGATACAATGATATGAACAAAATATGATAGAATGCAATATTATTCAGCAATAAAAATAAATGAGCTCTCAAGTCATGAAAAGACATGGAAGAACCTTAAATGCATATTTCTAAGTGAAAGAAGGCAGAAAAGGCTACATACTCTATGATTCCTATTATATGACAGTCCGGAAAATGCAAAAGTATAAAGACAGTAAAATGATCAGTGGTTGTCAGGGCCTTTAGAGGAGAGGGGAAGAGAGGAGTGGTGAAGCACAGGGGATTTTTAGGGCAGAAAAGATATGTATAATATTGTAATGGTGAATACACGACATTAGGTATTTGTCAAAACCCTTAGAACTATACATCACAAAGAGTGAATATTAATGTATGTAAATTTAAAAATATACTTAGGTGGTTGAGGAATGCCAAGAAGGAATTCAGACTGTGACAAGAAAAATCTAACTGTATTACATATGCATGAAACAACTGCAGGAGATGGGGTGGGTACTGACCTAAGTATCTTTGGAAATGAGTATAGTCTGTAAGACTAAAGGCAAAAGGAACTGCACATAAGCACTGCACTCTAGTTGATGAAGTTGTTTCTCATTGTGGTAGGGGTTAACAATTCTGATACTACTATGCATGTATATTGGAATGGAACAATTAAGTAAATAGATGGCAGATGACGGGAGCCAGATTTCTCACTGTTGGAGTGGGAGTATACAGATAAGCAAGGGAAGGAAGTGGGAATGATATTAATGGACTAGAGTTGGAGACATTAGTCTCCTATTAAACATGACATTTCAAGAGTTTAGAGATTACCTCCCCTAAACTAAGGGCAATGGCCTGACATCTCTTTGGGCAAGGTTAATTTTTTTGCTACACAGTTTTACTATACAGTCTTTGAGTAATTTATGCGTACTTTATTTACTGATGTAAATTTAATATAGAAAATGAAGAATTACAGAGAAAATTGGCTTATGTTTAAATGTAAACAGACTTACAGCAAGAATTGCTTTTTTTTTTTTTTTTAAATCATTATTTAGAGTATTTCCAAAAGGAAAATTACACTATCGAGATGAACAAATGTAAAAATACAGCTTATACCACACTGTAGTAAGGTGAAGAAGCTCCTCTGTGATTCAGGATTCTTCGTCCAAAGTGTACACTCTTGCCTCTGTCAAACACCTGGTCTCTGGTTCTGGATATTATGGAACAGGGTAAAGAACATGGTGCAATTTATACAAAAAGTTTCTAGATTTATCATAAGGACTTGAAAATGAAGCAAAATCATATTCTTGGGAATTGACTAGTTTTAAATTCTGTTTTTCAGCTTTTGCTCACATTTATATCATGTTATATTGATTGTAGGGTACAGGAGATGTTGATTGTCTTTGTAAAATTAGGAAGAACTTAGAAAATGCATCCCATAAGTCTGGAATCTACAAAGAGCCCGGTGTTGTTCCTTGGACTTCAGTCAGACGGAGAAGCAAAGCCAGTTATTTATACCAAGGATGGGAGTGTTTTCTTCTATCCACAAGTCATCCAAAGTACGTTTACTCTGAAACACTTCAATTTTAGTTTGCTTTGTGGTTGTTTGTGTATATTGTCTGGTAACTTGATCTCATGTTTACTAATCAAATCTCTGCTGTTAGGCTTTTGTTGTTGTTTTAGGGGGAAAAAACATATAATGATGACCAGACCACCAGCTGCTGTTGAGTAGATTCTGACTCAAGGCGACCTCATGTATATCAGAGCAGAACTGTGCTCCTTGGGGTTTTCAATGGCTGATTTTCTGGAAGTAGGTCAGTAGACCTTTATTTTGAGGCGTCTCTAAGTTAGCTCAATCCTCCAACCTTTCAGTTAGCAGCCAAGTGTTTAATCATTTGCACCATCCAGGGACTCCTCAAATTCTAAAATAATTAACGTTAGATATAAAATAATTAGATATAAAATAATTAATGTTAAGTATATAGTTTCTTCTACACTGAATTCTTTTAGTATGTATGTTCATTTGTGTGTGTGTATGTGCACATGTGTATGTGTGTGTATGTTTTGGGATCTTTTTTAGGGATATCTCCAAATACACTGAGAGAGGATGCAACTCTTACAAATCTCTTCAGCTTCACTGCTTTTAATTTTTAATGCTCATGGTATAAAAAGATATGGTAAAACCAATCAACAAGAATGGTATTTGGATAGAAAATAGGATTTGGAAAAAAATTCTGAAGGTATAGAAATGGGAATATTTTGAAACTGGTTTATCTCCTAGGTTCAAGTTCTCTAGAAAATTAAAGTGAATATACAAGGAGTATATTTAAATAATTTAAGCTTAAAAGGTAGTACTTGCTTGAACATAGAGACTAATGGGGTAATTCTATTTTGTTGTTAAATTATCTCTAAGATTAATGTGCCGTCTTATTTCTGCCTCATATAGTTCACTGTGTATCTGACCTGGTCAAATGGATTTTGGCTTACTCCAAATCTAGATGATTTTCTTTGTCAATTTGACTCTCATTTAACCACATTTTTCTTATCAAAATACATCTGTACTTTACATGTGTGTATATTCATATATAAAATCTCCTACAGAAGATAGTTTAAAATAAGAACACAAAGAGTTTTATTTATCATTTTTGCTATCTGCATCAATTCCTTTTAAGCCTTTAGTTACCATACTTAAAATGTTCCAGTTGTTGGGGTAGTACACTTTAACTTGTTGCCATCCATACCACCACTCCCTCCACCCTCTGTTTCTTCATAGACTAGCATAGAGTGGCACTCCTACTCAACAAAATGGGTATGCCATCTGTCCCTGAAGCTCTTGGGGGAAGCAGATGATTAAAAGGAAGAAATACATACAGGGTAAAGCAGAAGAAAAGCAGTGAGAAATAGCTAGAAGAAGATGTCAACCAACCTGGAAGAACACAGGAAGAAAGGAAAAATGATACAAAGGAAGGGACAGAGAAGAGAAGATGAGAAAGAAGAGATAGCAATAATTGGACAAGGAGATAAGAACGAAAAATAATTTGTGGAAAGACAGAGGAAGAGATAATAAAAAGCGGCTTTTGTAAACCTAGATTCTTAGTACCAATACAGCCAAGAGAAAGAAAGTAATTCTTTACAGGCTGTCCAATTTAATTCTATTATTAGAGCATGGATGGCTTGGGTTTTTGTCTCCATTTACTAGCTGTCTGGTGCTAGTCAAGTCAACCAACATTGGAGAGTGTTGGTACTGTTAAGAGGGATAACAATAATACTTTCCGTATCTACTCAGTAGAGCTGTTGGGACTCAAGAGAGTAAATCTATGTGAAAGTTCTTGTTTCAATAAGAATAACTAACTTTGTGGGGCAGTTGTTTTACGCCAGATATTGCAAAGCATGGGTTATATAATTTAATCTCACAGCTCTGAAAGGTAGATATGTTATTATTCTTTTAAAATTGTACTGTGGTAATATATAACATAAAATATGACATTTTAACCATTTTTAAGTGTACACTTCAGTGACATTAATTATATTCATCATGTTGTGAAACCATCACCCTATCCACTTCCAAAAGTTTTTCATCACTCTATCAGAAACTCAGTATCCCTTCATCAATAACTCCCCATTCCCCCTCCCCTAGTCCATTGTAATCACTAATAAACTTTTGTCTCTATGCATTTGCCTATTCTAGATATTTCATGTAAGTGGCATCATATGATATTTATTTTTGTGTATCTGACTTGTTTCACTCAGCATAATGTTTTCAAGGTTCACCCCTGTTATAGCATGTATCAGGACTTCATTCTTTATGGCTGAATAATAGTCCATTGTAAGTATATGCCACATTTCATTTATCCATTCATCTATTGATGGACACTGGAGTTGTTTCCACCTTTTGGCTATTGTGAATATGGCTACAGTGAACATTGTGTGCACTTACCGTTTTTGAGTCCTTGTTTTCAGTTCTTTAGGGCATATATCTAGGAGTGGAATTTGTAGATCATGTGGCAACTCTGTATTTAAATTTTGAGACACTTCCAAAATGTTTTCCACTGTGGCTGCACCATTTTACATTCCTGCCAGCAATGAATGTGAGTTCCAATTTCTCCCAAGCTTCACCAACACTTTCTAGTTTCCATTTTTCTGATAATAGCTATTCTAGTGGGTGTTAGGTGATATCTTATTGTGGTTTTGATTTGCATTTCCCTAATGACATTAACATGACATTTGGAGCCCTGGTGATGCACCGGTCAAGAGCTTGGCTGCTAACCAAAACGTCAGCAGTTCAAATCCACCAGCCACTCCTTGGAAACCTTATACTGGTACCACGCTGTTTTCATTACTGTTGCTTTATAGTATGTTCTGAAATCGGAAAGTATGAATCCTTCTACTTTATTTTCTTTTTTTTAAATTTTATTTTCAGTGAAAATATACATAATAAAACGTACACTCATTCAACATTTTCTACATCTACAGTTCGATGACATTGGTTACATTCTTCACATTGTGTCACCATTCTCACTATCTCTACCCATATCGTTTCACCAAAATTAACTTTCTGTCCCCTAAACTTCTCCTCTGTGTTTTAGAGTTACTGTTGTCAAAGTCCGCAGTTTGAATCCACCAGGTGATCCCTGGAAACTCTATGGGGCAGTTCTACTCTGTCCTATAGGGTTGCTATGAGTCGGAATCGACTCTACGGCAACGGGTTTGGTTTTTTTTTTGGTTGTCAATTTGATTTCATATAGATAATTCTTTAAAAGCATACACTTCTCAAGGCAAACATTCTTTACTAGTTGAGCTAAACTGTTGTTTAGTTTAAAGATGACTTCATGGGATAGTTTTGGTTCAAGGCTTAAAGATTATCTCAGGGCAATAAATTTGGGGGTTCCATGAGTCCCAACGGGTCCAGTAAGTCTGGTTTCTATAATAATTTTAAATTCTTTTCTACATTTTTCCTCTTTTGGATCAGGATCCATCTAATGGGTCCTTGATCAAAACAGTAATGGTAGCTAAGCACTTTCGCATTCTGGTCTCATGGCAATAGAGGAGGTAGTTCATGGAGGCAATTAGATATACAGTCCATTTCCTGGATCTCCTTCCTCTGCTGTTCCAGGTGAATAGAGACTAATTGTTGTATCTTGGATGGCCACTCACATGGTTTTAAGACCCCAGGCACTTTTCGAACTAGGAGGTAGAACAGAGACTCTCAAAACGGTATTAGGTCAATTGACTGAACTGACCCTCAAAACCATGACCCCAAACCTTCGAACCAGGAAAACTCATCCCATGAGGGATGTAGTTTTAATTGCATTTCTCTAATGGCTAATAATGATGAGCATTATTATTTTTTGTTTTGTTGGCTACTTTAATATCTTCTTTGGTGAAGTCTATTCATGACTTTTGCCAATTTTTTGACTAGGTTATTTGTCTTCTTGTTTTTAAGTTGTAGACATTTCATGTATATTTTGAGTATTAGGTGTACTTAATTATCAACAATTTCTGCCTCTCTTATTTATTTATTTTTTATTATTAATTTTTTTGGCTGCTGTTGATTGTTTTAAAAATATATATAACACTATATCATTTCTCCCTTTTTTTGGTGTACATCTTAATGATATCAATTACATTTGTTAAGTTGTGTAACCAGTACCCTTAGTTGATGCCAATTTTCCCATCACATAGACAAAAATTCACTACTTCTGAGAAATTGATTCCCTCTCTCCCTCCCTCTCATGTTCCTGATAACCACTAACAATCATTGGTCTCTATCTGTCTTCCTATTCTTGTCATTTCATATAGGTAAGTTCATAAAATATTTTTCCTTTTGTAATTGACCTATTTCGATCAGTATGGTGACTTGGAGCTTCATCCATGTTGTAGCATGTATCAGGATTTCATTTCTCTTTAAAGCTAAGTAATATTCCATTGTATGTATGTACCACCTTTGGTTTATTTATCTGTTGATTGGCACTTGGGTTGTTTCCACCTTTTAGCTATTTCAAATAGTGCCACAGTGAACATAGGTGTACATATGCCTATTCATGTTTCTATTTTTAGGTCTCTAGAGCATATACCTGGGGCCCTGGTGGCACAGTGGTTAAGAGCTACTGCAAGATTTGGCTGCTAACCAAAAGGTCAGCAGTTCGAATCCACCAGCCCCTCCTTGGAAACCAAATGGGGCAGTTCTGTTCCGTCCTACAGGGTCGCTATGAGTCAGAATCGACTCGATGGCAATGGTTTTCTTGTTTTTTAGGACATATACCTAGGGGTGGAATTGCTGAGTCATATGGCAGAATGAATTTTAGTTGCTTGAGGAATTGCATATTATTTTCCACAATGATTGTACCATTTTACATTCCCATTAGCAATGGATAAGAGTTCCGATCTCCCCACATCCTCTCCAACATTTATTATTTTCTGTTTTTTTGATGATTGCCATTCTAATAGGGGTGAGGTAATATCTCATTGTAGTTTTGATCTGCATCCCTCTAATGGCTAATAATGACGAGCATTATTATTTTTTGTTTTGTTAGCCACTTTAATATCTTCTTTGCTGA